ATCCAAGTCTAGTTGATAATCTATACTAATATTATAAAGAGGTAAAATTTAATTTTGTAAGTTTGTATGTAGGGTAATCTTTGGAACCCCTGGTCGGATTGCCAAAATTCTTTCACTGATATATAGCTACAATATTCCAGAACTTCAAGCTACGATCAAATGGAGCCGAGCAGCGGGTGAAACCCCGCGAGATTACCTAGTCATATATACACATAATTCGTGGCAAGTAAAATTATCAGCTTAAATTATATGTATAGCGTCTATTAGTACCGACTAATGTCCAAAAGATTCGCTTTAAATGATCAGTGTTAATGCAAACATGAGATTGCTAATAAGATTTCATTACGGATGTCAGATCAAGTCAGACACGAATTAGTAACTGGTTCGACGGAATCTCGTTGTTGGAGAGCTAAGGAATATGCGCTCGTGTACCGTGCGTGGGAGGGGGCAAGGCGCTGTCATTTATTAAATTATACTAATTTGTGTTAATAATATGTGCATAGCTAAATATTATGCACATTTTTACTTTTTGTTTCCAAAATGATGCACAATGGAACTTAAATTCACTTTTTCTTCTGGTTTTTGAGTAACAATGTGATAGATGTGAGGTTTAGACTCGTACTTGTCAGTTATTTTATTATTATTTACGCTGAACTGCGTTTGCTCTTGTAAGTATAACAGTAATGGGCAAAAATTATTGACGCCCATCCAAGTTCTATCAATTGCTGACAAACCTACGAGTTAATTAAGTATTTAAGGAATCATCTGTTTTTTTAACACGACTCCTTTGAATTTCAAAATATGCTTGAATATATACAAGCGTAACACGTTTCATCAATATGGCGATAGTTTTCAATGGATAGCGTTGGGTGCACATTGCCCAGAACTAAACGTAATTTGGGAGAAACTATTGAAGTAGGTACCCTCTAGAATTGATGTTGTTTATTATGAGCAATGATGAGTACTGTATGAGAAATACTAAAAAGTTGGCAATATTATATTTAACTTTAGTATAACTGTACTTAAACGATCTGCGTTAGAAAATAGCCCTTATTACAATGCACACTGAATACCTTGGAGCTCCCTTACCGCATACAAATGACCACTTATTAGTTTTATTCACAATTTAGAATTTATAAGTAACCGCATTCTATGCTTGTGTGATGAGTTACAATTTAAGCCTAACAACTATGTTGGATGAGCCGAGAATTCATGGTAATATGGTTACAATAAAAATGTGATACGACTTTGAGCAATGTATAAATTGGGAATGTGTATGGGCTGAGTGATAACCTCTTTGGTAGACAGGTACCTTTATTGTTGTGAGCATGTGTGAGTGTCACGAAGTTTCTTAGCATGTCTGACTCACTCTCCGAACAAGTGTCAGTGGCATGAGCCGCACTCACCAACAGAAGTGATCGTTACATAACTAGTGGAAAGGGAAAGGAGATGCTATATGTGCAGATTGAAAGATATTCTTACATCAAAAGAATCGTCAAGAAAACGAGATCAGGATAGCCACATAAAGTCGATATTATATTGTAAGAAAATATACGTTGGGACTTGGGACAGGTAAACACGGCTCCAACATGGAACTAAATATGAAGTGTAAACAGAATTCGTCAAACAGTTTATTTTTAGAAACGCTCAGGTACGCTAGGGTGGCTAGCGTGTAATTACTTTTCAAGTTTGGGGTTAGAACGAAACTTAGGGTTACTCCCTTGCGTTATTTAAAATGCCCTTCAAGTTATTTTTAGTTTAGCGTGTTGCAAAAGCCATTAATTACCCCCTTTTTGTTTTATTCAGGAATTAGATAGTTTTGTTACCTATTGATTACGTTGCCACGTTGTCAACCAGGTACTAACATTTTAAATAAAAAAAAAATATTTTGTGTACTGTGTAGAGCGATATGAATGTATTATCAAAATGATTGAGCTAATAAGACCTTACGGGTCACTAGCGTCTTTTTAGCAATAAAAATTACATACCTAAATATAATTCAATTTTCCGTAACATCTTCTCTAATGCAGGCGGTGTGTTTTTGTCCATTGTGTTTGTCACAAATACACTATTTCAATAAATAATTAAATTAAATGAGTTGACTACATTGTATGTTTGCGAGATTGCAACTAAACATGAAGTGATTCTTGGTCCACTGATCAGTTAGTTTTGATTGGCATTGAACATATTCTGTCAGTGAGTAGGTTCTGAGATAGCCGGCGCCATATACATCAGCTGTTATCAGTGCAAAATAATTACAGGGCAGCAGGGGTGCAAACATGCCGTGAATTATATGCGTCTCAGTTTGAATAGGCAAATTATATGATCATTATAAAGATAATCAAGAAAGGTCTAGTTTCGTTTCTTTTTTATTCAAAAATCACGACTGGTAAACATTTAGTTGACCTACAAGATTAAAACGTCCTGAACGACGTGATTTCGGATACAGTGAGAACAATTGGCAACAAATTGAACAGCAAATGAATTTCTGTTTAATAATGCAAGACGACACTGAAAAATGCCATAAAGACTTAAGACTACAACACTGTACCATCAGTTTTATACAAGCAACAGCCAGTAATGGCTGGTTCGTAGAATGAATAAATGCGTTGGATAGTCTCGCCTAGATTTGACTGTCAAGTGTAATCTCCGTCATCCTTCATAATATTTCAGTAGATATCGTAAGTGCAATATAATTGCTCAGACTTCATACTTTAATGTAGATTACATGCAGACTGGCGTAACTAGACACTAGGCGTAATTAAAAGCTTCAAACTGGTCAGAAAAAACCGGACTCGAGGCCTTAACTACAGACCCTAGTCCCTACAGGGTAATTCAAGTAAATGAAGATATATACACCTTTTTAAATAACCTTTTGGAGTTACCTAAGTCGGAAATATGTTAGCTTATTTTGGTGGTTTAAGCTAATGTGATGAAAAGTTTAAAGTTTAAAACCTACAAGTAAAAGAGTGAAAGATTCAGTATTTTGTTATTGGAACAGTTATTACATCATTTTTTAACATAGACTGGAAAAGCAGATGTACTTAACCTTTTATATAATACTCCTGTACACTGTAGTTTAACTTGTGTATGATAATTCTATACCTGAGTGAATGATACCTCATTGAGTTAGGTCTTTGTTTACTGAAATAGGTAACAATAAACCAATTCTAATAATTCCCTTGGTGAATAATAGTAAAATAACGAAATATCATGAAAACAATGTGTATGTTATTTGTACACAAGCTGAATAATTGAGCAGAACCTACATTGGAAATTATCTGACTATTGTTTCATAAACATGGAATAAATATTTGTCATTAAATTAAAAATTTACATGAAGTTTATTCCACGACTGTACAAAATCCTCCATGTACAATAGAAAATAACTCTACTTTTGACAAGAACAGATGAATCACATTCTGTTTGCTTACAATGAAAAATACAATTCAGGTAAATATTAAAACTACACTACAGACAAAGCTTACAGCAACAGCAAAGCAAAATATAGGTATAATAAATAATACTCACTTAGCATTTCTAAGCACTTGTTAAATATGAAAATAATAAAATAGAAGTTGTATCCGCTACCAAAGAGGAGACCGATGAGTTGCATGGATATTGTAAACTATGTACATTTCTATTATTTATGCATAAGCCACAATGTGGGTATGTCATGTCTGATAAGCCTGCACATGACGAGAGTGAAAGAATTAACTCGCATCATTTATGCAGACACACTCTACCGAAGTTAGCTAGGTATAGTTGTAGAAGATGTGGTGTATATAAACATTATGATTTCCAAATATTATTTACTGTCAATATTTGTAGCTCTATATATGAAAGTACAATATATTTATTTAATTCTAGAAGCTTTAATATAATTATGTAATTTTATTGAATTTTATACTTATTTAGCAGGACTGGTGGCTGTGATAGTAAAAGTGACTAATTAACGGCTTTACAACTAAGTAGTATTTGTTCAATGTCATTAGATTGTTACTAAGTACTGGGTTCTTTGAACTTTGTAGTTTTATAATGTAACATAATGGTCAAGGAAGTATGGTTTACCATTTACATAATGTATATGAATGAGGAACTCACACTAAACCTGGAATCCCCTTAATTTGTTAAGACATAAAATATTACTCTATTATGCAATATGCATAATATCATTATTGACATCCCTAAACATATCACTGACGTTACTCATACTCCACTGGGAAACTAGAAATTTTCAATTTTGCTCTTTAATATTGAGCAATTATTTTTCCACTAACAATTTATGAAGTACCTACAGCTTTAAAAACTTTACTAGACTAGCAACAGGTTGGAAATGTCATCAATCTGAAATTTAATTTAATTTAAATAGTACAATTAAAGCCATTTTACAACATGCCAGTTAAGTAGGAGTAGGTTTCGTGAATTTCATTTTGTCTTTTTATGAATAGTAATTCAAATATTAATTTCGAAACAGAACAACCAAATGGAATTACTTCTGATGAAGTGGGTATTTAGTGTCCATGTCTGAGACTGAGCTTATGACCACAGATAATAGAAATGTAAATAAATATGTACAGGTTATACGAGTTAACGAATGTTGGATCTAAAAATAGAATTTAATAAGAATCGATTTAAGATTAAGAATGAAGGCAGTGCAAAGAGGCAAAGATGAGAGTAAATTGTGTATTTCATGGGTTGAAATTACAACATTGAAACAACTAAACGTACATCGAAAGCAAATTTCATGTAATTCCACAGTTTGCGGCCAGCTTTGAGGATATAAATAGAACATACACTCAACCACCCAGCTAACTAGAACATTGAGAAGCTACACAAGTACTGCTTGAAAATGCACCGAATGGACCAGAATAGACTATTTGATCCGTTTTCTTTACTTGTAAAACTTATAAAAAGTGCAAATATCTAAGTGCAGTGACGGATCGCCAGAAACTAAAATGTAGATATGGCATATTACATGCATGTCGTACACAGTTTACCTCCGCCGATGTCCATGGCACTGTACGAATAAGCCGCGGGCCGCGGACACCTCACAGCGGTCCTTCCGCACGCGACAATATCAAAACGCACATTTATATTAACTTCGTCATAACTCGTTTCGTTTTAAAACATAACACTTCCCACTTTCAGAGTGTACTTTCAAGAACTTTGGAAACACTAAACCTCACTTTTAAACTTAATTCCGATTAACTGATTTGCAAACACACACGATTTACTTCACAAATTGTAAACTATAGACGTACCTCCAGCATGAATGATCCTATAATAATAACTGTGAACTGTTTCTTCGCTCTCGCTCGGCCAAGGAACTAGTTATCAAGGTCTCTCGTCTCGACGTTGTGTAGTTCCAAGAATTTGTCACAGATTATGTCGCGAACTTAAACACTATATTGTTATCGCGCGGTACTAATTTTAATAAATACGGTTTAATAATTAGAGTAAAATTATTTAGTAACAAACGTATGGTAGTGAAGTAACACTACTCCGGTTCGGTTAGTGAACGTCAAAACTAATGATAATACTTCTTGGTGTGCGTTAGCACTCGACTGCACACAAGCAACAACTGCCGGCGATTGGCAGCGAAGTGTCACATGGCGACTGAGTGACGTATGCGGACATAGCGCATGCGTATTGTGAATTTCAAACTTTATTTTGCGAGTGTGAGCGAGAAGGTTTTATAGCCGTACTCTTCATTTTACCACTGACGAATTAAATCACTACTGCGTCATAGTTGCCCGCCAATATTTAAAACAAGTAAAGTTGTTTTTGATTTAGATATTTATTATTTTGTGTCATTTTACTATTAAAGTGTTTGGTATAAAGGTAGATCGATAGATAGAGTAAAATCTATATTCTATATTCAACCTGCTATGCAATCGGAGAAAAAGAAATATAGATTTTGTGGCAGTATTTTAGTGTATCTAAATAAACTGCATAGATAACTACTTACTACCTAATTCTTATTTCTCGTGAAAGTAAGATTAAATCTTTGAATTAAATCCTGGCTAAACTTCAGACTTGTTGGGCCCCATCGCCATACAACTCTGGAAGTACGCTTGGGTCTGGTTCTGGTTGTGTCGCGAGTTACCGTTGCTCGCAGATCCACAATGAAGATGCCGCCTGTACGTAATTCGTGTCGCACTTAGGTAGGTATATATAAATACAAAAGTTAAAGATGACTCACTTATTTACCGTATACCTATCTAATTCTTATTTTATGCCAGTCTTGTTTATGTACGACGCGACCCATAGCCCTTAACGAGTCCAATTTTCTTCAGAGCAAGTATGAGTCATCGGAGGTCTGAATAATGCGGAGTGGCGCGGGTGTGCGTCTCAATTTCAGGATGTTTCAGTAAGCTTAGCGGCATGACTCACCGCCTGCCCGAACCGTTACGCATTCTACGCACATTTATTTTCGGGGATGGGTGGTTGGGAAGGCTACGAGTCAAACTAACGTAAATAAATACGTTTGTTTCAAGGCTTCTGTGAATGGAAAGTTTTGTTGTTTATTTTTGGATGGATTTATTGATTGCTAATCGTATAGGTACCTAAAAAGTACCTACGTCGTGTTGCAAACTTACTTAGGTATAGTCTGTGGACGATACCTTCTTTCTTTCAGTGGCAGGCTTTCTGCTTGTGATGATCTTGACCTGTGCATTGTTATTGTTTTAAATTAATTAAAACTCATTTAATTAAAAACGAGAACTGTTGATTATTATCTTAATAAATTTCTATGATACCTGTCAGATAAAAACGGGCTTTAAAATATATTGTAAGCCTTAGTCGTTTTGATACAAAATTAAATTAAGTAGGTACCTACTCGAATTCTCGAAGAAATCAAATAGATCGTCATGAAGTCGAATTGATAAGTAAATTTATAAAAGGTTACATGTGAAATGAAATGAAGTAAAGAAGAAGAAAATCACACTTACAATTATTATACTTTACTATTACAAGAATTTTTTCGTAGTCCTGAATGTAGCGCAGCTACGGCGTAGCACCGTTATCCTAGTATCCAAGTGCAGCGAGATAACGACGTACCTTTCTTTATAAAACCTGCTACTACTATCATTTCTGTATCGAGGTATAACTGATCTTCGAAACGAAGTTGTGATAATCTAGAATTTAAAAAGTGTCAAGGACACGCAACTTTACAGTCGAAATAGAATGTATTCACCTGACTCGATCCTTGAACAAGTGTGTAAACATTAAGCTACTTACTTATTTTCATGTAACGCCTTCATCCCTCAGCGTATTCGTAAACTAGTGGGTACCTACCTTCCCCCTGAAAGTTAATAAAAACATTCAGTCATGAGTCAGCGATGGCGGCGGGCTGACGCGCCGCGTAGCGTTGCGTGAGGCGCCTCACTCCGACGACGCCGAGCCGCGCCGCTTAGCCTTATATCCAAACGCTAAATTAGACTTGCCCTCCCTTTATGCCCCCTGGAACTTGTATTATTTAATATTTACGCAATTCCATGACGTGGCCTCTAACTAAAGAGGGAGCAATGTGTTGCACGGACAACTATGTAGATGGTAGGTAGATATAATCAAATTGCGTGCACTCTGAACCTTATTTAAAATGAATACGATTTAAGTAGGTACAGGTACTGAATAAAAAAATAAAATTTACAGGTCGCCCTTTGAAAATTATGAAAGTTCGATTTCTTGCGTAGGTACCTAAGCCACATGTAAATAGTAACTACATAACTGTAACTACTCTGTAAAATACTACTACCCATTATTGTACAAAAGTCAAAGATAATAAAATAGCATACCTATTAAAATTTATCTCCCTACCTTAGACTTCATAGACTTGGTATGACATAGGTTTCTGGTTTCAGCAATAAATTACGAAACTGTATTTATGTAGCTATTCTTACGCGGTTTCGCTGTTCAGCTCCTATAGATCATAGCGTGATGTTTTATAGCCTATAGCCTCCCTCGATAAACGGAATAACCAACCCAAAAATAATTGTTCAATTTGAGTGTCCCGGAGATTAGCGCGTTCAAACAAACAAACTCTTCAGCTTTTTAAGTTAAAAAAAAAAGTATAGATTACACGTTATGAAATACGATAAAGAAATATCAATCATACTCACCACCACGGATCTATGTGAAGAGATAGTTTTCTTATAGATTTGAAAATTACCAAGACAATGGCAAGACGTATCATCCAGACCTTCCGAATACAATTGGCTTAGATGATCTTAACAGTCATTTTTCTAATGTCTCTGTTATGGATCGCCTAGTCAAACAACGTACTGTATCATTTATCGCCGGTCTGGAACGTCCTTATATTTCTAGCCCTTTTTGCTTCGTACCTGTTCAGTTGTCGGAGGTTAGGAAGACAATCCTGTCCATAAAATCCAAAGCTGTTGGATGTGATGATATCTCTCGCGATATGGTTATCACTATATTGGATCACATCCTTCCTGCAATTACCCACATAATAAATTTCTCCCTTTTCTCAGGAACATTCCCATCCCTTTGGCGCAAAGCCTTTGTTCGTCCTCTCCCAAAAATCTCTAATCCTTCTCTTCCCACTCATTTCCGGCCCATATCCATACTTCCTTTTCTTTCCAAAGTGCTTGAAGCCTGTGTACATAAGCAACTGTCTAACTTCATTTACCGTAACTCTCTGATAAGTCCTTTGCAATCCGGCTTTAGACCAGGCCATAGCACTGTCTCCGCTCTCCTTAAGGTGACTGGCGATATTCGTATGGGCCTTGAGAACACCAAAGCCACAGTTCTGGTTTTGGTGGATTTCTCGAACGCCTTCAATATGGTCAGTCACGACATTCTTTTGGCCATCCTATCCTATCTTTCGATCTCTGACAAATCACTGAACTGGTTTTCATCTTATCTTCAGGAGCGTCAGCAGTTGGTCAAGCTTGATTATGTTTCATCAAATTGGCATGATTTGAAGGCTGGCGTTCCTCAAGGCGGAATACTATCTCCTCTTTTATTTTCTATCTTCATTAATATGATTACTTCCGAACTTCAGTGTGCGTACCATCTATACGCTGATGATCTGCAACTTTATTGTCAGGCTAGTGTTGACGGGCTATCTGATGCGATCTTGAAGATGAACGGTGATCTGGCAGCCATTGGAAACTGGTCCGCGAGGTTCGGTATAGCAGTGAACCCTGCCAAATGTCAGGCCATTATTATAGGAAGTTCTCGTACGCTGAGTGGGATTGACAGAGCATCCCTACCGGCTATGATGTTTGACGGTGCAGTTATCCCATTCAGTAATGATGTTAAAAATCTTGGCCTGATTATTGATAACAGTTTAAAGTGGCGTGCTCAGGTCACCAGTGTTTCTAGCAAGGTTACTGGATCCTTGCGGGCCTTGTATCGCGCGAAAAATTTGCTTCCACCTGCCACGAAGGCTATGTTGGTGCAGGCCTTGGTTTTCCCTATTATTGATTATGCTGATGTTTGCTACTACGACCTGAATGCAGATCTTCTCAATAAGCTTGACCGACTTCTTAATAACTGCATTCGATTCGTTTTCAACCTGCGTAAATACGATCATGTTTTTGCATATCGGCTGCAATTAAAGTGGTTGCCCATACGCCAGCGCAGGGAGCAAAGGGCGCTTACCACTCTATTTTCTTTTCTTCATTCACCTTCTTCGCCGAGTTATCTATCCCCTTACTTTCAGTACATATGCGCAAACCACAATAAAAATTTACGTTCTTCTCATAACCGACTTCTTCAATGTCCTACTCATCGCACTGATTTCTTTCATTCTTCCTTCTTCGTTCAAGCTATCTTCCTGTGGAATGCGCTCCCCCTGGATGTCAGGATGGTGTTAGGTCGTTTGACTTTCAAGCAGAAAGTTCGTGAGCATTTATTGAAGAAATTGGCTGAATCATCACAATAAGTAAATATAAGTATATTTATACATATAATAATATATATATATATATAAGTATGTAGTATCTATTTATTTATATTAGTGTTTCTATATTTATTTATACATAATTTGTATGTATTATTAGTTTACGTAAGATTATATTGTTATTGAACTTGTTTAAATTCATTCATTATTATATTGAGTCTTTGTTTTAGTCTATAAAAATTTTGCTGCTTGCGCTCACCGTTTTTACTCATCTCTGCATCACCCAAAGGTCAGACTGGTAGATAATGCCTACGGCATTAAGTCCGCCTATGTACAGAAATTTGTGTGCATAAAGCTTAATAATAAATAATAATAAATAAAATTACCAATAAGTAATAAATTGTTAATAAAAACAGGTAATAGAACGGTAGTTCTTTGCCCCATGCCCCGTGCGTCACGCAGCAGGCGACACTAGGGCTGGCGCCGTACCGCGCGTCGCCGTGCCGAGTGCCGATAGTCTACAGTCGTCGCCACACGCCACCGAGCCACCCCTACCTTCTCCATTATTTAGTCTTTTTAATAACCTTGTAATTCTTTGTTCACTGGCAAGCTACAATTATTGTAGCAATATACAATTAAGTTAATAGTTTATGTCGCAGTTTAGCTGGTGGAAACTTGTAGGGCTAGCCTGGCAGTATACTGAAATTTATAGATATTTATTAAATATTTGTAAAATTGTAAAACAAATATCATTTTTAAGAAGAGTAACGATGGAGTTTCTTTCTTGTTATTCACTATTCGAATCTACAATTACACTAATCTAGCTTCACTGACGAACAGACTGACAGACTACTTTTCTATTTTGACGTTAAAAAAGTAGGTACCTACTTAAAAAAGTAAGTAGGTATGGTGGTATGTGATTTTAACTTTGGCTGTACCGAATCTAAAACATTATTACTGACAAGGACAACACATGATTTTTAACCGACTTCAAAAAAAGGAGGAGGTTCTCAATTCGATTGTATTTTTTTTTTTTTTTTTTTTTTTTATTTTTTTTTTTTATGTTTGTTACCTCAGAACTCCGTCGTTTATGGACGGATTTGCAAAATTTTTTTTATGATTGAAAGGATATGCTTCCAGATTGGTCCCATTCTTTTCAAAATCAAGTTTTGATGATGGGATCCATGAGAAATCGAGGGAACTCCTCAAATATTATAGGCAACTATATAGTAATTTTAATATTTTCATAGAGCACTCAAGCATTTACAGTCAAAAAGTAATGTTTGATGAGGTGGAACTGGTGAAGAAGATCAGAAATGGATGATGAAACTTGACACTCGCATAGATATCACAATCAAGGTAGTTCAGCAACTATGAAAATGCACTGTAAACCAATGATCTTAAATAATTATGTTGGAAATGTTATCATCGAACTGATTTAATGATGATTATGGAGCTGGAAGGTAGGCACTGGAACTGCGTACCTAATTAATATATCCTAGCCGTGTTTGGGCTTGTTAGAATTGTTATAAGATGCACTTTGGCTGTAAGGTACTATTGAACTGATGTGATGATGAAGCTGGAAGGTTGGCATGGGGCCTAGTATTGTGTAAGCTTATTAGAGCTGTCAAGAGCAATGGAAAGGGCTATGCTCATAGTTTCCGTGCATGTTCGAATCAGAAATGAAGAAATCCGCAGAAGAACCAGCGTCACCGACATAGCCCGAAGAAATGCCAAACTTAAGTGACAGTGGGCACGGCACATTGCTCGTAGAACAGATGGCCGATGGGGCCGAAAGGTTCTAGAGCGGGACCGCACACCTTTGGGGGCGGAGTTTGGCCTAGTATTGGCTATTTTGCATTAGTCCACGTGGACTGCGTTTACACATTAGTGGTGAAATGCGTCATTGTGTTCTTATCGTTTTCCTGGTAATAGGCTAAGAGAATTAATTGGCATTTTTAACAAAACAGTCGTTTTAAATGGGTTACAAAACAATAATTGCGTCGTACAAAACAATAATTGTGTTTCTTTTGTGTGCACATATGTAGATAATACTTACTTAAAAAAGGTTCATACATTGAATGAGTCATAAATGTATATTTACAATAGCGATGGTCTTTTATATTTTTACCAACTTGTCTATATATTAATGTTCTTAGTAATAACAAAATAGTATTCTTCATTTAATGGGTTACAATTGATACAAAACAATAATTGCATCGGTCTTTTTTCTATGTACGAATGTATTTAATCATAGATACTAAATTAGATTGCATTTGGTATCTTTGAACTTTATCTGTCTGTTGATGAAAATATCTAGTTTTTTGTTATTTGGCGAGAACTAATATGAATTTATGATAAGATTATTATTTTATTTTAACTATAAATCATAAGTATCTCATGCATCATATCATCTCTCCTCGAGATCAAAACGATTACACAGTAACAATGTACTATGATATGTATTTCTACGTATAAGTATGACATTGGTAACTTTTTCAAAAGAAATGTAGGAACGATATTGACTTCTTTGCCATAACACATTATAATAAAAAAAAAAACACTAAACGGCTACAAATAAAAAAAAAATTTACAAAATAAAAAAACCGCCTTCAAAAAAAGTCAAGCAATAAAAGTTCCTACACTAAAAAGTAAAAAATAACAATTTGAATTACTGTAAAAAAACTTAATTTATAGGTAAACTTATTTGACATTAATATTTTGCAAATATTCAAAATTTATTACTTATTTTTGGAGTCGGTGCCAGCCCATGCAAGGAAATACAAATGGGCAACAATCCCTTGAAAAACTACCTCTTACTTAATTACAAAACTACTTAATACCTATTTGCATACTCAAATATAGGTATATTAATTAAGACATAAATACAGATTAGACTTCTCTACAAAAAATGTCCGATTTGCACATTTTTTTAAATAAAAAATATGTACTTACAAAAACATTTTAAGTACATTGAAAATGTTTAAGCATTATGTACGAAAAATGGTACCGGATATTAAAAACCTAACTAACATTAAGTTTCAACATCAAAATGCTGGCACCGACTCCAAAAATAAGTAATAAATTTTGAATATTTGCAAAATATTAATGTCAAATAAGTTTACCTATAAATTAAGTTTTTTTACAGTAATTCAAATTGTTATTTTTTACTTTTTAGTGTAGGAACTTTTATTGCTTGACTTTTTTTGAAGGCGGTTTTTTTATTTTGTAAATTTTTTTTTTATTTTTCTTTTCTTTGTACAAAAAGGTATATAAACTTTTTTCAAATAAACCTCAAACTCAACAAAATTGAGCAATTAAAAAAAATTTAATAAATTTCGAATACATTTTCGAATCTATATCACCGAGCTGTCATTTCAATCGAAATATTTTTGCTATTTAACAACTGCGTTACAAAACATTGCCAATAAATACTGAGAAACAGGAAAACCAAGACAAAACAGTATACTTATAATGCCAGAGCAGCTGGTAAAGGTGCCTCGAAGTGCATCCCCCGTGGCCAGGGCAGGGGCTGGAGATATCTCCGAGCGAGAACTGTCGAGGGAAAGACATAACTTGCAGACCACACCGCCAGCGTGAGTCATTGTTTGTTTTTTTTTTTTTGAGGAGCACCTTTTTACCTTCTCTCTACTGTACCATGACATCATCAACGTTCATTCTTATAAAAATGAGTTAGATAAGTCAGTAATAGAAGTAAGAAATTTTCTCATTTTCTGATCATCGATCAAGAAAGCTAAATGTTTCGTAGCGTCGCTACGAAGGCTTTTGCTACGACGACAAGCTACAGAAAATACAAATTGTCAAGATTCGTAGCAAGCATGTAGTAATATTGTGTTACTTGCATTAGTAACTCCAAAAACAAAATTAAATAGGTACAATTATTTAGATAGAATGGTACATAATTATTGTATGACTCACATAGGTATATAGCATCTTGACTTCATTCGTCGAAGGGATCGGTTAATAAAGCAGGAGTAATTATACATTTTGTGAATGAATTTATTTTTTTAAGAAAATGACACTTGTCCTCACAGACTACAAAAAAATAAGCAGTTTGGACGGTTACTTTTAGATTTCTAATAACAAATTACGCGCCTAATTTCCCGGCCCTTGGCCTAAAACCGGCGCTCCATAAACAGTGATTGTGTTACATTAGTAACTCGCTTGATAAACGGCCGCCCCGCTGTCTGCTCTCATGGAGATGTACGACCGTTAGATCATCCAAACAAACATGACTCAGTTTTGATACAAAACAGACAAACTGTCTGTCTGTCCTCGGTTAGATTGTAACAGCAATATTTTAACTTAACTCGGTAGAGGACGGATAGGGATGCGACCTTTAGCTAATTTATCTAACAACTGAAGGTTTTTGTTTATTTATATATTGTTTCGGAGGGCTAAACGAAAAGGCACGGTACAATAATAATTGTTAGCTTTTACTTCAATTACAATGGATAAAATTATCCAAAAAAGACTACTACGAAAAAGGCTAACTTGATATGACTCATAAATAAATTGAAAGGGTTGGTGACATTACACTGTTGGGGTGGTGGCGTCTACCGGTTTGGCTTGAAAGTACCTAGTAATTAGCTAGTGCCGAGGCATATAACAGGAGGAGGAACGGAGCAGTGAGATTCTGTCACTCCCTCTCACCCTACTCATGTCGGAAGAAGCCATTTAATAAAACTTTTTGTAAATAAGCGCTCGTAAAACACTAGAATCGAATTGGCCATACACCTGTAGTAGGGTTGGATTTCAATAAATTAATTTAAACTATTATGTCCTTACACTTAATTAGGTTGGTTAAGGCTGAAAACGCAGCACAAACAGGAAACATTTCCTTGGGGCTATTACTTGGCAGTACTTGGCGGGCACATTGATCAAAATATTTTTCCTCCTAATACGCGATGACGGCTTAAAATGTGGAAAATACAAGGTATCACCTATGTAAAATATAAATGATGGGCATATTTTCCTTAAATAGCGACCATTAGTCATTTTGGAAAATCACAATTTAACGTAACGGCGCGTGACGTCACAACTTTGTGAAATCCCATGTAAACTGTAAAATAATATCAAAAGATGACCGCTATGCTATGTGTAAATATTAATTTACACATTTGTTCAGATTTTACCAACACTTTTTTATAAATATGTCAACGAAATAATTATAATCCTTTATGAGTATGATTTATGTAGCTACTTACTTATTAATCAGCTTTTGAAGACACTTAGTATGTTTTAGGGGTTGGGGATACCCCAAAGGAACAGATAGATGCCAGGACAAAACCAATTTTTGTCGCAAATTAAAAATAAATGAATTGAATTAAAAATACCTATCTTCTCTATAGTCGCTTGCAACCAGCTCATCCGAAGAAGCAGCTGTTCTCAGCCCCCGTAAACAAGTTCACAGCCAAATGGCGTGGCCCCAGTCCCCACCTGGCTAGGATCCGAAGCTGCCTAGATGCTTACAATAACCAGGAGACTCCCACGAGATCCGTCGCCAAAACTAAGGCGGCTTCCATGGAAGACTTGACGCCTACGAAACGTATTCGGATTGACAAGTTAGTAGAAGCAATAGTGCACACGTTTTTTTAAACTAGCAATAATAATACAAACTTAGATGACCTTTTAAACTAATAAGTCGACTAAGCTCTTATACCACACAACTGTGATGTAATAAGTGTGTTAAACAAGAACAAAACTACCCAGAACATTGTTGTTTGGATAAATAAAGACACCAGTGAAACTCAAAACTATACTAGTAGTGTAGTTTCAGGAGCAGGTGTAAATGTACAGAAAATTAAATAAAATTGTACAGTTTAACGCCAAACTTTCAAAATTCCTAGTTGATTCTTTAGGAAGAACTGCCTGCCTGTACTTGCGTCTCCGAGCGTGCATGGCCCTGCTGAAGAGGTTGCGGCCGCTAAAATCTGCCAGTTCATGCTAGTAGCAGCTTGGAGACGGCGGCGCGAAGACGTCAGGTGCCTTCGCAAGACTTTGGAAACACAGGTAATCGAGGTCGTTTTGGCCTCCGTTACGTTTATTCTTCGAATGGCAGAGCTAACACCCTCTTTTAAACGGTCATACATCTCGTAAAAGAGGGCGTATGTAACAATAATATATTAGATACTTTGAATCCACCTCAATTCCAGATTCCATATCATTACTAAGAATCTTATCAACGAGGGGCGATATTGTTTTTAACACTATTGTGTCATCATGAAATTAAGCAAATAACAATACAATATATGTATAATAATTAGGGATGAGCAGCTTTGATGATGAAATCGGAAGGTGGCTAATAGAATTTTGGGCACCTATTTGTAGACACATCGAGTTTTGGCTTTCGACATATGTCCATTTCTCCTAAGGCATAGGACACCGTGTAATTAAAACGGAATTTATTTTAGGTGTCATATTCAGAACGGCTGCGGATCCAGATAGCTGCTCTGAAGTCTCTGCTGGACTCCGATAACTCAAAGGTGAGGATGGCCATGCGGGAGCTGGAGCGATTGAAGCAGCTGCTCAGGGACAAGGAGTTGGAGAAGGCAGTACTGGAACGAGTAAGTCATAAAATTGACGACATTTTTATTTGATGAGATGGAAAATTGTTCTTAATTAATATTGAAACCCTCAGGAAAAATTAGCGTTGGAAGACGATGTGTGTTCCGCTGAAGACCGCGCTTCGGAAATGAGCATTGGTGAGTCACTTCATCTTTTTTAAGAGGCGATAGGTATATGTCGATATACTAAAAATACTTATAATTTGTGCACAGTAAGGGCCACTAATACCCCGGGCGAAATTATTGTGGCGTCCACTTGAGGAAATCAATATGAAGTGTTAGTTTTTTGCTGATCCTATTGATATCGTTAGACTCACTTCTCGAACAGAAACCCTCAAAAAAACCATCCCAAATCTTAATCCATCTCAATAAGAAATATGCATATGTACAGAGCGTAGAGCACAGTTCTGAGGGTTTGCACCAGGAGAGGCAAGAGACTTCAGACCTTGGCGCCCTCCTGAATTTGTCGCCCTGGAAGCGGGCACTGATTGTGTATTCCATTCCGATTTCAAAGTTTCAACCAATCGTTCTCCGTTGGGTCGTTGGTACTAGGTTCGCTCTCTATTTTGATGGGTTTTTGATGTGGTCTGGTAGGATGGCGGAACTGCCGCAACGAGTTGGACGGGGTGCGGGCGGCGGCCGCCGTCAGCGAGCACGCGCTGGCGCTGGAGCGCGCCGCGCACTGCGACACGCTCGCCTCCAGGGACCATGCGTACAACAGGGTCAGTCGCTAACTCAACCTCACCACACGTTACACAGTCTAATGAGTCAGGTTAATTATGATAAACCTGACTAATTACATTAAAGATTTGTTCAGCTTAACCATACTATGTATACATTGACGTGTAAAAGTGCCGTCTTATGGCCTATTTGCAAAAATAAGCAAAAATAACCAAGCTCAATACCCAAACAACTCTGTGATACACAAATTGTTGTTTCGGGTTTAGGTGTCAGTATGTATGTGAAATTGTTTGTTTGTACACACGACACAAGAGAAAAAATTACAAACCAACTACGCATGAGATATTGTAGAGCACTGATCTAACATGACTGGAGAGAGAGAACCAGGTCTCGGTCCTCTTTTTATATCAAGCATGAACTCTTTGAACATCACAATACAAACGACTAGACTAGCTGGTTTGCAGAAGTATTTGGGGATGACGGTTTCCGTGTACATCAGTTGGCGGTACTAGAAGATGACCTGGCTCAGCACGAGGAGTTGCTGGCGTCGGCGGAGGCCGAGGTGGCCGCGCTGCGCCACGAGGCAGACGACAAGCAGAGACAGCTCCAACTCACCAGCGAGAAACTCGCGCAGGAGGAGGAGTCAGTATTGAACTTTATGGATTTCTTTATTACCCACCTGGGGGGTACCTACGGGTATTCATAGTCGTATATAAGAAAGCAATCGATACTCTCCAAATGTTATTGGGGATTTTTTGTCAAGTAGGTGCCTCGGTCATCAATTCTCTAGGTTTCTTTAATCGGTTGCTTAAGAGCCGTGACACGATTTGACAATTCATTTGTGTTGAGAATAATGACGGTTTAATTGTTGGTAAAAGGTTCTCGACGGACGAACCAATTCGACGTGTAAAAAATTACCCGTCGACTGTCCCGTTGAGTGATTGCAAATGCCGGGCAAAATAAATCTTGCAATTATTTGTATTATATATCTCTACCTGCTCCCTGCAGGGGATAAAAGATACTCCTGCTTAGCCTTGAACAAAACAATATACCTACCTGCCTTATCGCAGCTACCTATCTATAAAAATTAATTTTATGTAAGACACGGGTTAGCTGTCTGATAAAAATCGCATTGAGTTACTAGATGCAGCTTGCTAATGCAACCGATCTGGCTGTTCAGCAGTGTACGGTTTGTAACTGCTATTGTGATGGAGAAGTTTGTTTTTTAGCCACTTTAGGCGTCGGTCACGGACACGCGGTGTTTCGAGTCTCCAGAAACAAGGGTTTTAAATGATGACAAAATTCTATATCTAGATAGTAAAAGAGAAGAAGAAAAGTTATTTCTTCCATAAATTCCGGTAACCAATGACCAGGGTGGCATATAAGGTGTGAATTTTGGAGCTATACCGCAGGGCTAGGTTACAATGTTCCCGCGAGTGCGCGGAGCTGAAGTCGCGCATGTCTGCGGCGGCCGACGAGACGGACGCGCTGCGCGGGGACCTGCTGATGCTGCGGGATGAACTAGAGCGGCTGCAGCGAGACCTCGCCCTCACCAGGGAGCAGCTCGACTGGTGGCCGCGACCTCTCACCAAGTATGGAAATAATCATGTCTGGTGCTATGTAGTAGGTAATGGAAATAGGTCAGGCATAGATATCTCCAATATGACGTTGAATTGGTACTTGTTTCCTTTAAAAACCTTACATTCTGAACCATTTATCTACCTACATAGGTATGGTTTAATTCGCTTTCTCGTTCTTGGCGGGGTTGCGAGAGCAAGCGGAGAGTGCAAGCGCATTGTGATGTACCGGGGCTTCAATGCAAGTGAAGGCTGATATACTCCCTCTCGAAACAGACAGACAGGCGAGAGATGACATCGAATGATTTTTCATCCTCGAAGGTTGTTCTTTGAAAGCTAGTAATAATTTACTCTTTATAATATTGGCAGGATGCTTGGTGCAGCGCGATCATGGTTCCGCAACCCCAAATCAGTGCCAGAAGCCATAATATGGACCCTTATACCAGCTCGACATGGCATACCATAGCCAAAACTACAAAGGAATATAAATTTAACTTGACTTTGTTATAAGACTGATTTTATTCTTCCATAGGTAATTATAATACTCTCAAGTGCTAGTAGTAGCTAAATAGTATAAACAGAAAGAAACGAACAGAATAGAAATGTTAATAACATTGACATATACTTACGTCAAATTTGTTTTGTGTCAATGTCAATTGCCTTTTTCTACTATATTTTTCTATTTGGTTGCTAGCACCGGGCATAAGTGATTGTTAACATTTACAAGGTAAGTTTGGTAAGTATTGTATTTTTATATAAGGATTAAGAGGTCCACGTTTTAGATTAATTTAATTATAATAATGTTGTTGGTACTTGAATGTATTTGTAAGTGATTGTTGCTTATTACTTTATTTTTGTATAAAATAAATGTTGGTAATATATTTCAAGTTTTTTCTTTGTCAGAAGATCTAGTTTTGTATTTGGTTAGTAAAGTCGCCTAAACGAAATCGTGAAAATTAACACAGGGTAATGAGACAAGGGATCTGTCGTCATCAATTTATTTCAGTCTTACATTTCTAATCAACAATGTTTCAGCTACAAAATATCAACATTTGGAATGGTTCCTATCACTGGGGGCGAGCCAATGCACAAACATACAGTTATTTACAACCATGTTGTACGCTTTCAAATAATTATAAAATATTATAATACAGTCAATACATTGATGGCATTCAATAAAAAATAATACAATTTATAAATACATATGCAAATATTTTCGTTCACGATACTCTATATACCTTAATTACATAAATTCCTCAAGAACTAATTCCCTCAAGAGAGTTTTTGAGTTTATCGCGAACATGTAAACGCAGAAGGAGACTATTAATAATTATAATAAAAACAATACTTATTAACTGGAATACTGTTACTATTGTTATGATTTGCAAAATACTTGTGATAGAATCTAAAAGTTTGCCAAACGATAGCAACTAGTAGGTTACGGATTAGGCCTACAATTCTGCCCGCCCCCTAACTACAAAACATGATCGAACTTCAAGACAATGGCACGGAGATTCATACATACAGGTCGACAGCAAGCATTAAACAACATTATTTGGATACAGAAGCATCATTTTAAAAAGCTGATGTTTATTATTTTGTAAATTCCATGTTTATGTGCTTGGATAAAGAAGGCTAAATAATATAACCGACCTTTGAATCTCCGGTATCATAATTTACCCTACTACGTCAGACGTATAATTTGTAACAAGGTACAAGCATTTGCTGTTATGAGATAAGCCATGCAAATCTGTTAGTTAGTCACCATGCACAATAATGCATCATACATCTGCATGATCTTTCATTTGTATCCACGTGATAATATAGTGGCTAGTGCCTCGACCCTGATAACAATTTTAACGTGTTATCTCAAAGTAAGTATATCTGCAAAGTTCAGAGTACAAACTCAATCTAATGCTTTGTTGTTATCAGAAATTACACTCTTTAGGAATACAGCATTATGTAGTCTTGTTTTACTTTTGTTTTTCGCTTTTATCTCCGTACCAATGTCAAGCCGCATTAACTTTGAAATAGAATATATACAAGATGTCAGCTATTTATAAAATTACATCAAATGACTTAAATTACACTTCTAAAATAAAAAACTATAGTCAGACTTTTAATTCGATTCCTGATTTGACATTGACCACTGTCATTTTGTGAAATAATGATACCACATTTAACAGTGTAGTGATGAACACAAAAATCGATAAACAATCAGTGAATCAGTTTCAGGAAGGCATTCAAAAAATTACGGCTACCGAATGGTCTAAATGCGTATCTCATGTTTTCAAAGAAGAGGAAAAAATGAGTAAGCTAGATATGTTAATTGACAATAAATATCAAAGACACAATTCATAATAAATGTTACATAGAGTAACGGCAATAGCGATAGCGATGACGGCGACAATTTATAAAATGTCTGTTTTATTTGTCACGTTCCTTCATGATCACATTTTTTATTAATTTCACACTCAATTACAAAAGAAAAGTCTCAGATCGTTAATTAATTGTCAAAACTTAATTATCGGTTCAGAAATATTTTATTTCCTGATAAACTTAGTTTACGAGAGTAAATTTATAAACGAGAGGAATCGATTCAGAAATATTCGATTTCCATATCGAATAATTTCGCAACGTCACTATTTATTACGTGTCATAACGTTGCAACACTGAAATTGTCAAATCTGGAATGGAATTAAAAGTCCGAGTATAAATGCCATATTTATTACGCAATCACAAATTCGTGACGTGTCATTTTTGAGTTTATGAAATAATTACTAGGCTACGCATTTTCTTCTTTTAGTAATTTGTTATAATTATAATTTTAAATACAGCCGAATAGAATGTTGGTCTTACCACATAAGTAAGTGACAAATATGGCATTTAATCGGGAAATAAATTAGAAGTATGTAGGTACTGATAAAACGATAAACAGCTAACAGTTAGCTTTAGAAAGGTGCGAATGTGTTTGGAGAGTCGACAAGAAATTATCCATTACTTGTACTTTTGTTGCCAAACTATACAGACACTTTATATAGAATGTATTTGAACATAACGACTTACCAGTGTCAATAACCTATCTATCTGTATTCGCTAGACTGGTTTCTGTACCAGGGTAAAAACAAGCCTAAGTATTATTACAGACTATTTTATCTCTGTGCTAAATTACACTCAAATACGTTCAGTAGCTTGTAACAAATGCGCTATCCATACTTTCGCGTTTATATCATTAGTAGGATTTCCATGTTTCATAGAAACAAAATCTTTGATAGTATTCTATTCCTAACACCCAATCCTACTGATAGATAGATTATTAAAGCTGGCAATTAGACCGTTATTATGTCTCATATCAATACTGGACCAAATGATGTAAAAAGTATCTTATGTTAATAAGTTTCAAAAGTTCTCATACATGGATTACGGATTAATTAAAATAAATAAATGCTTTTGACTTTGATTTATTGTCCAATACTCACCATTGCACAATAAATACTCGTTATCTTCTCCATATAATGAAAAAGTATTTACACCAGAGAAATGCTCAACATTTTGTGCCTCTTAACAATAAAAAGTAAGCCTTACAGTGCGACTAGTCAACAAAAGTTAGATAAATCACAACCGAAATAAACATAACTTTATCTTAAACTAGAAGAAATAATATCTTACAAGTTACACAAAATACTTGATTAAATATTAAATAAAGAAATATTGAAAGACGTCTTCTCCCAAACACGAAATAAATGCAATCAAATTGCGACAACTAGAGTATCATATGACTAGAACCATACTTAACAATAAGTTGAAACTTAGATAATAACAACTTCGATTGAACACTAACATCTTTGCGGTACACTAAGTTGCATCTTATATTACAATAACAGTTGCGTCAATAAAAAAAATATAACAGTTTCAGAATTTTGTAGATTTTTGACACATTGCTGATGTTACTTAGTTGTACGAGTAGCAACATGTTAATAGCCAGATGAAAAGAGCAGCATATTTTAATGATAATATTTAATTAAATATGTGATTTGACTAAGACTTTACAATGAAACACGTCGATATTAAAGTTATACCTTTTCCACAATATCCATCAGACAGATGGTACACAAATGTTACTGCACATAAGATGCACATTCAAACACATTCATACACAGAAGTTTACATTATAATTAGAATTAATAATTTATTACACGTATCATTTATTATTAAATATTATTAATTATTTATATTAAATGCATCTTTGGAGTTTAGGTTGGAGTCATAGAATCGTTTAGGCCAAAGTTTGTACAAGAAAATAAAATCGATTTTTTATAGAATAAATAAATAATATAGTTTTTGTATTTAAGATCTCGATATATTATAAATGTTTTATTCGTTCATTATTAATTTGTTTCGAAATATTATCAAAGTCAGAAACCTGAAATCTATAAGTTTACCGGTATTTTTCACTGGTGCAAGTTTCGCAAATACTGTGTATATTTTATTACAATGTTTTACTATAATATTTAAGAACAAAGCCGCGAAATACTTATATTTTCAAATAATATTAACAATATTACTGTTTTTACGAAATAACTCTACGTAAATTACTCTCTTTGTGTAATGCATTTCAGATCTATTTACACACACTAATTTTTGGATATTATTTGAAGAAAGAATTACTGGCTCAACTACTACATCTAGGTACATTAAACGTTGTAAAAATGTTACGTCTTTAGATGGGGACCACTTCAACACAATTGGCAATGAATATCAACCATTTTGAATTAATAAAATACCCATAAACTCAAATTAAGAGTAACTAAACGCAACGACTATAAAAACCAAGGGAAATGCTTGTATATACAGAACATTTTATTCCCGCCAGTTATAAGCAAATTTATGCTTTATTAATATTAATATTGATTTCATCTTTCCGCATTTCGGGTCTTCCATATACATAGTTTAACAATTTAATTTTTAAATCGTTCGTTTAAGTATATTATTTATCTCGTTCGAGTTAACTTTCTTAATAATAATTTGACAATAAACATGATGTTTGTTAACTCGTTATTGTCACTAGTTCATCAATTCCATGTAGATGGACTCTTCTTTGGCAGGATTCCATTTTAAATTAAAGGCTCGTGGACCCATCGTAGCTTTACGTACGAAATATTCATTAAATTTTATTTTTAGTTTGTTCACTTTTGTGAAGTGGATTTGACTAGCTTAAGTCCACTCGCTTATATTATTTATAATCAAATACCTTTCGATCTGACGATATTAAATGCTAAATAATCATCCAACAACGGACGAGTTCGTTAAAGAAATAAAATGATACATTTACATTATCCGTCGAAATGACGTTGATATCAAATTCTCTTGAATGTCAAATAAATCAGAATGTATTTAAAATCATCTCATCAAATACACATTTTTACAGAATGATTTATAAGAAATTTGCTCGATTTTTTTTAGTTCAAAAGTTAACTAAAACAAAAATTGAAATTATTAAAAAAAGAAATATACTTAGGCGTTTACTAAATACTAGAAGAAGATCAGCTGTACAAGTTTAAGAGCACTTAATTGTAGTGTTAATAAAAAGAAATCGAGCAAATGTCATATTTCGTCTACTACTTAGTGTTGGTTCCGGCTGTTATTTTAGTATTGAAGGAAAAAGATATCCTTCGAAGAACCATTAGGTTCCGTAATTTGTCCGTTTATGTTTAGACAACTTTATGATCTAAACCAGTTCTAAGGTTGCTGCATACATTCTGTTGTACATAATAAGCAGTAGGTTTGATACCTGCGCGAGGTCTATATCATCCCGAAGCCCTCGCCGCCCTCGTTGATGGCCCAGAGCAGCGCGTGCACGAGTTGCTCGTAGCTGTCGTAGTCGGGCAGACACAGCTGGTTGAAGCACGTGTGCGCCGTCGGTAGCGCGCCGAAGTTGGGCGCCGCCGTTATTTGGAAACGCGGGTTTAACTCCTGGAATTGATAACTTTATTTTACAATGGCGTTCCAACAAGTCAAATTCAATACTTTTTTGGAAACTTCATCATGTAACCAAATTTTTTATAAGGTATCAAGTATGTATATTAGGTATATTGTGCGTTATTTCATGCGAGGTAAGTGAGTAAAGACTCCGTGTATGAGTGGTAGCGGCTTTGGATTCAGTGGAAAGGCCTGCAAAGAGGCTGATTGGTGATCCAGACTTGGTTGGGTCCAATCTTCAAAGTCTCGAGCACCGCAAGGCTGGCGCGCAGTAGCCAGCCTTGCGGTGTTCTACAGGATGCATTTTGGAGAGTGTGCGCAGGAATTGCACGATTTGATACCGCCATCCCAATTTCACCTTCGGAAATCCCGGCGTACGGCAAATATCCCCCCCTACGTTGTTGAGACACCTGCGGTCCGGACTAAGCGTTTTGCCTAGTCATTTATACCGCGTACATCGAGGTATTGGATCAGTTTGCCCGCTGCAGTCTTTCCGTCCGAATACAATTTAGGTGTCTTCAAGGCTAGAGTGAATAGGCTCTTAATAAACTAGTGCGCCTTGCCATCAACGATTGCATCACTGCTTACCATCAGGTGGGATCGCAGTCAAGCGCTAGTATATTGCAAGTAAAAAAAAGAGTAGTCTTTCTATAGTAGCCACTCTGTTACTGTGTGTTTTAATTTGTATGAATTTAAATCTAGAATGTTTAGGTGTTTGTGTACTTTATTGTAAATATGTCCACTTAAGATATAAATCATATTATATCAAATTTAATTTTTTCACACTGATTACGATTTCTGACATAGTGTTTAAGAATGTCTAGTAATATGCCACGTACACCAAGAAACTCTAGCTTGGAAGTAAGTAAGGGTATAGAAACTGTGTCAAAAACCTTCGAATGGTCCAGTTTTTTTTTTACAATATTGGAGAACACAAGACGGCAATATTTTCAAGAATATAAATATTATGTATGACGTACTAACGACGTGACGCTTCGTGACGTACTGACTCGAGTTTGTATTCGCTTTTGAATTTGTATTTGCTTTGGTGGCTTCACGTACGTGTTCTGCACGGTCTATCTGCCTTTTGTTTTATAATTTGTGACCTTAGCCTACTTATTTACGTTACTTTTTTTATATAAGAACGTTTGAAGTTAATGTACTCTTTTATATTATTATGTATATTATTTTGTATGCATGCCCCTGTAGTGTGTGTGACACCTCTGCCCATAAGTAGTGTAAGTTGTATAATAATGAACACTTAATTAAAGACGATCGTCCAAGCAACACGTCTCTTACTTGCGCCTACATTGCACTCCTTAATATTATTTGGTATCAAGTTAATGCTTGATTAGCGTTAAGCGTTTTGCTTGTTTCTGACAAATATAATGCATTACATTAACTATTGGCAGCCGATCAGATTTGTTCTCATTTAATATCTCTCACGAACCTATACATCACGCGTTCTTCTGATAATAACTGACATAACAAAAAAAAAAGAGCTAGCGTAAACGGTTCAGTCGTACTGGAGATTTGCGCGTAGCAACCCATTTAGAGATACATTAGTATATATGGGTAAGCTATGAAGGTACAAGTACCTGGAACCCCCCCGGGGGCAGCTGGGAGCAGCCCGTGGTGAACTGCAGCAGACGCGCGCGTTCCTCCGTGGTGAAGCTGGACAGCGCGGCCCAGAACCAGGCCAGCACGCGCTCCCAGTCGCGGCCGGCGCCCTGCACCAGCGCGTGCGCGCGCCAGTCCTGCACCGACAGCTCGCCCGTACCGCACAGTAACAGCTCCAGCTCGTTCTCGTCGAAGATGGCCAGCAGGTTGTCGGGCACCAGCACGCCCAGGCCGCGCAGGAAGGCCTCCGTCTCCGCGCGCACCCGCGCCGCCAGCCGCCACTGCGCCAGCGCGTCCAGGTACGAGATCTTGTTGCAGTTGCGGACCTGCGCACACCATGCGATGCCCTCGTAATGCGCGTGGCCTACTACGCCTAGATATCTAGTAGATTCTACTTGCTGGACACTTTGAAAACAACAGTTATTCCTGAATGGGCTAACATACTCATGGATGACGATCTCGAAACCGTCACCTGGAAAACAAATGAAGTTAGTTTTTGATATTTTGAGAGTTAAAAGATTTCATTTTAGCGAGTTAGTTAATTTGGCCAGATCATGCTCAGTTATAGTTCTAACAGCACTCCATGACTTTCCTTTAAATACTACTGCTGTGTCGTCCGCTCGTCCGCATAAGAAAAGATTTGCCCGCCACTATCATCGATATTACAAAACTCATTTATATAAATCAGGAAAAGTGTAGGGCCAAGCACACTTCCCTGAGGTACACCGTAAGTCGCGTTTCCTTCATGACTAGTCAAGCTGTTAATTATAACTTGCTGTTTTCGATACATACATAAATAGCTTTTGAAGAGGCAGAGTGGAATATCTAAAGCCTCAAGCCTGTGCAGAAGGATGAGAACGGACACAGCGTCGAAAGCTTTCTTAAGATCAAAAAACACTGCTAGACATTTGTCTCCTTTAAATACATTTGTTACAATTTCAGACGTAAATGCTATAACATCTTGTGTTATATTTTGTTAAATAATGAGAAAGTCGCGTCTTCAATAATTTTTCCAACATTTTTGAGGTACTGGATAACTTCCTGTGGATCAGTTTCGAGAAGAACGAACGAGGTGTCTCGATAAATTGAGTATAATATCAAATCTTATTTGGAGTGCTAATTTTACTTGTTTTCAGCAAGAGTTTTGGCTATAGTAACGAAAAACTAACATGGTTAATTGAATTTAAGGGGGTGCGGGGTGCGGGGTAAGATTTAAAAGTGGAGCATTAGTAGATTTGGACGTTATAAATTGGGTTATTTCTTTAACTTTTAGCCATAGTTGTTTTGGATTTTTGGTCAAGACAGCTATTTGGTTTCTCTGGAAGTCTCGTTATGACTTCTTTATAAGATTTGCACAGAAATTGCGAAAACGTCTAAATGTAATTTTTAAGACAATATTATAGGGATCTTTCTTGCCCATAGTTGCATTTTATTTCGAAGTTTACTACACCTCAGCGCTCCTGAAGTTATTCTGGGTTTGATGATGATTTTCTTTCACTTTGCTTTTGGTTTTCACAAGGTTCTAGTCAATCAAAACGGCTATGGCAACGATTATTGCATCACCACTATATCAGGTGGCTTATTCACTTCAATAGTCCTGTCACTGATATGACCACTATCAAGAACTGGGTCGGGATCACCTGTAGTACGGAAATTCCGATTCCACAAGCTTCAGCTTCAGAGAAAGCTGCTGGTGGAGAATGATCCTGGTCATGGCTACAAGGTTGTATTATGCGAATACTCACCGTTAGGTAGACGACAACAACCAGAAAGATTATTTTGAATGAAGTATGTTCAAAGTTAGTTTACTGTTTAAAGTTATATACACTCACCCTTATTGTAGATCCATTAGGCAGTAGATCATGTGTTTCTACGAGTCTCCCCGAAGAGTCGTAGACGTCGTCAGCGAAGTACAGTTCTGGCACGGAGTCCCCGCTGTCGAGGTCAGTCTCCAGTACGTATTTTATCTTGGACAAGTATAGCTCCGGGTCGTCTTGCTCGAAGTACTGGTGAGTAGCGAGAAGGAAATTGATATAGGAATTTCATGCCGCATTACTTGTTTATGTCAAGCGAGATTAAAACAAAATCGGAATAATACGTTGTTCTAAAATGTTGACAAAAAGTAAATTACTGAAATAGAAATTTTCCTTCTTTATCGTAATGGCAGACCTAGGCCAAGACACATTATTGCGCTTACCCCGGAGCCCCGGCTAAACATCAGTCCTATTGGGGTAGCCTTGAGTTTTAAGAGGCGCGCGCCGTAGGCTCGGGTTTAGTTCAAGTGAAAGTTGGGGGACATACCTTGTAGTGCACGCGGAGTCCGATGAGCTGTGCGAGGAAGGAGCGCGTGAGGCGCGCGCGCACGAGCTGGCGGTAGGCGCCGCCCAGCGCGCTCTCGTACACACACTTGCCGACCAGCTTGCCCGCCAGCTCGAAGTGCTTCAGCTGGGGGCACACACTTATAGTCACACTAACGCTCTCGTACACACACTTGCCGACCAGCTTGCCCGCCAGCTCGAAGTGCTTCAGCTGGGGGCACACACTTATAGTCACACTAACGCTCTCGTACACACACTTGCCGACCAGCTTGCCCGCCAGCTCGAAGTGCTTCAGCTGGGGGCACACACTTATAGTCACACTAACGCTCTCGTACACACACTTGCCGACCAGCTTGCCCGCCAGCTCGAAGTGCTTCAGCTGGGGGCACACACTTATAGTCACACTAACGCTCTCGTACACACACTTGCCGACCAGCTTGCCCGCCAGCTCGAAGTGCTTCAGCTGGGGGCACACACTTATAGTCACACTAACGCTCTCGTACACACACTTGCCGACCAGCTTGCCCGCCAGCTCGAAGTGCTTCAGCTGGGGGCACACACTTATAGTCACACTAACGCTCTCGTACACACACTTGCCGACCAGCTTGCCCGCCAGCTCGAAGTGCTTCAGCTGGGGGCACACACTTATAGTCACACTAACGCTCTCGTACACACACTTGCCGACCAGCTTGCCCGCCAGCTCGAAGTGCTTCAGCTGGGGGCACACACTTATAGTCACACTAACGCTCTCGTACACACACTTGCCGACCAGCTTGCCCGCCAGCTCGAAGTGCTTCAGCTGGGGGCACACACTTATAGTCACACTAACGCTCTCGTACACACACTTGCCGACCAGCTTGCCCGCCAGCTCGAAGTGCTTCAGCTGGGGGCACACACTTATAGTCACACTAACGCTCTCGTACACACACTTGCCGACCAGCTTGCCCGCCAGCTCGAAGTGCTTCAGCTGGGGGCACACACTTATAGTCACACTAACGCTCTCGTACACACACTTGCCGACCAGCTTGCCCGCCAGCTCGAAGTGCTTCAGCTGGGGGCACACACTTATAGTCACACTAACGCTCTCGTACACACACTTGCCGACCAGCTTGCCCGCCAGCTCGAAGTGCTTCAGCTGGGGGCACACACTTATAGTCACACTAACGCTCTCGTACACACACTTGCCGACCAGCTTGCCCGCCAGCTCGAAGTGCTTCAGCTGGGGGCACACACTTATAGTCACACTAACGCTCTCGTACACACACTTGCCGACCAGCTTGCCCGCCAGCTCGAAGTGCTTCAGCTGGGGGCACACACTTATAGTCACACTAACGCTCTCGTACACACACTTGCCGACCAGCTTGCCCGCCAGCTCGAAGTGCTTCAGCTGGGGGCACACACTTATAGTCACACTAACGCTCTCGTACACACACTTGCCGACCAGCTTGCCCGCCAGCTCGAAGTGCTTCAGCTGGGGGCACACACTTATAGTCACACTAACGCTCTCGTACACACACTTGCCGACCAGCTTGCCCGCCAGCTCGAAGTGCTTCAGCTGGGGGCACACACTTATAGTCACACTAACGCTCTCGTACACACACTTGCCGACCAGCTTGCCCGCCAGCTCGAAGTGCTTCAGCTGGGGGCACACACTTATAGTCACACTAACGCTCTCGTACACACACTTGCCGACCAGCTTGCCCGCCAGCTCGAAGTGCTTCAGCTGGGGGCACACACTTATAGTCACACTAACGCTCTCGTACACACACTTGCCGACCAGCTTGCCCGCCAGCTCGAAGTGCTTCAGCTGGGGGCACACACTTATAGTCACACTAACGCTCTCGTACACACACTTGCCGACCAGCTTGCCCGCCAGCTCGAAGTGCTTCAGCTGGGGGCACACACTTATAGTCACACTAACGCTCTCGTACACACACTTGCCGACCAGCTTGCCCGCCAGCTCGAAGTGCTTCAGCTGGGGGCACACACTTATAGTCACACTAACGCTCTCGTACACACACTTGCCGACCAGCTTGCCCGCCATATCGAAGTGCTTCAGCTGGGGGCACACACTTATAGTCACACTAACGCTCTCGTACACACACTTGCCGACCAGCTTGCCCGCCAGCTCGAAGTGCTTCAGCTGGGGGCACACACTTATAGTCACACTAACGCTCTCGTACACACACTTGCCGACCAGCTTGCCCGCCAGCTCGAAGTGCTTCAGCTGGGGGCACACACTTATAGTCACACTAACGCTCTCGTACACACACTTGCCGACCAGCTTGCCCGCCAGCTCGAAGTGCTTCAGCTGGGGGCACACACTTATAGTCACACTAACGCTCTCGTACACACACTTGCCGACCAGCTTGCCCGCCAGCTCGAAGTGCTTCAGCTGGGGGCACACACTTATAGTCACACTAACGCTCTCGTACACACACTTGCCGACCAGCTTGCCCGCCAGCTCGAAGTGCTTCAGCTGGGGGCACACACTTATAGTCACACTAACGCTCTCGTACACACACTTGCCGACCAGCTTGCCCGCCAGCTCGAAGTGCTTCAGCTGGGGGCACACACTTATAGTCACACTAACGCTCTCGTACACACACTTGCCGACCAGCTTGCCCGCCAGCTCGAAGTGCTTCAGCTGGGGGCACACACTTATAGTCACACTAACGCACACATGGTCATACACTCGAATCGCAAGAGACGCATTTTACATAAACTATTATCATTTTCGCTAAGAAACCATAAATGGGAGAGCCAAGCTACGGACCAAATGGATCAGGTCCACCAGAGTGTATCACAGACTGACAGGAAACTGGCGTGAATCAACCACACCGTCGTGTTTCGCCATGTCAGTGAGGTTACCGGAAGCTTTATCCCTCCCCCTCCTCCCATCCCTTCCCGATCCTCAAATATCCAAAACCTTTATCCCCAAAAAACCAGCAACGCATTCGTATACCTCTTTTGGTATTGCAGATATCTACGGGCGGCACCGATTGCTTACCATTTAGTAATCCGTCTACTTGTTTGCCGATCTATCCCATAAAAAAGAGGATTCATAAAGTATTTAGCTTTATAGAACAATCTATGGACATTACCTTCAGATGCGGTGGTCTATCGGGGTTGGGATGTACCAGGCCAGTAGGTGAGTCGTGGAAGGACACAAACAGCCCAAACTTAGGGTCGAACAGCTGACCGCATAGTAACGAGAACCACTCACGACGTACACCACCCCAATCTACACCTGCAATATAAAAATATAACCCTATAAATAAGGTGTACCTCAAGGCGCTTTACTGGGCCCAACCTATTTTTTACCAATTTACCTCACTAGTAAACAATAGAGGTTTTGTTAAGCCTGAGCCTTAAACCGGCTATCTCTAACCCGTCAAGCAAGGTGAATATTCGAAGACCCCATTTGAAAATAGAGGCCAATATTGAGCTAATTATATAAAGTTATGGTAAGACATATATTCTACATACCCTGTTCCCCCTGGAAGGTGATGTCGAAGTTCTTGCACCAGTCTTGCACGGTGAAGTGTCGAGTGGCCTTGAGGCTGGACCTCAGTAGCTCGGAGCGCACGACGCGGATGGCGAGCTTCTCGTGAGGGTAGCGGGAGTGAGCCTTGCGGATCTCACTGTAGAAGAAGTCTTGCTTGTTCTGAGAATGTAAAAACAATAAAATTTAAGATATGAAGAAATTCCAAAGCCTTAAGACTCCTTTTCCGACTCTCCTACTCTTTAGGGTTATTCCTTTAAGTCATGGAAGGTAGCTTCAGTCCACCCGATCCTTAGAAAAGATGAAGGTACAAATCTGTCGAATTACAGACCGATAGCCATAACTTCGCTCTTCTCGAAAATATGTCAGTAACTGCTAGCAAGGAGCTGGCACGGTACTTGGTGACCGACAGTACGGTTTCCTTTAGGGTCGGTCCGCTAGTGATCTTCTAGTTTATGTGACATAGTTGGGCAAAGGCAATCGAGTCAAATCGAGGCAGTCAGTTTGGACGTAGCGAAGGCCTTTGATCGGGCTTGGCATAGAGCTTTTCTTTCGAAGCCTCCTTATTATGGGTTTCCCCAGAAACTGAACAAATGGGTTTCCTGCTTTCTTGCAAACAGAAGCAAACAGGTCGTGGTTGACGGTGAAAGCTCTGACTGCTTGTCTGTAAAAGCTAGTGTTCCTTAAGGCTGCGTATTATGGCCCACCCTATTCGACCTCCATATCACTGACATGTTGCAAATCAGTGGCATTCATGCGTTTTTACTTCATTCATTCCAGGCATCACCCGTGCTTATACCACGTGTGATGCTTTTTACACCCGCCGTGCTAACATTTCTCGGGAAAACATCATCGAGAGTCGAAACAGACTTGTGTCTGATATCAAAGCCTGTTTAGAGATAATCTCAGATTGTGGTATATTTAATTTTAGTCAGATTTATCTCGGACCGGATGAACTATTTGGCGAGTAGGAATAGGCCTCGCCGCATCTTTTCATTATAGTCCCTAGCAAAAGCATTTTTATCCCCATCACAAAGATGGTTGGCAGTCAACAACTGTGTACTTCTCACGAAAATGTATGCCTCGCACAGCGCTACTTTACGATGAACAAAACATGAAAAATTCAATAATTACACTTTGATTCGGCAATTGATAATAAATTGGAAGATAGATTTAGAAGATTAAAGATATTATACTGTATGACCCGCTCATTGCTCTTAATTCAAATGAAAACAACAAACGTACCTTGAAGGTATCCTCCCCCCCACAGTTGGCAATGAGTAGCTGTGTGAAGGTGGCGGCGATGAGATCTCTCTCCGCCGACACTAGCTCCAGCTGGGGCTGTACCCCGTCCTCCAGGGTGAACTCGCCACCCGGACCCGAACCCAGGGGGGTTGGCTTTAGAATCAACTGGAAGAAGCAAATACAGTGCTGGAGTTCAAAGCTGAAGTTGTTCAATGAAGGAAGACATTATAAAAGTGCAAATATTGTCTAAGAGGCTGTTTTATTACTCGAACATCGAACATTAATGCTTTACAATATCTATTCAAATTAAACTTCGAATTTTACTGATCAATTTCAATTTCAAACACTTATGTTGCAAAAATTAAAGCTACACTATTATGATGACGAGGGTAATACCTTAGTAGAGGGACAAAGGCGAAAGCTAGTGATCCTCTTGGGGATAAACTTAAAGAGGTAGTCCTTGAGCGTGAGTTGCTTGGGGCTGATGCAGCAGAGGACGCGGCGCGGCTTGCCCGACAGAAGGCGCGCCTCGTAGCAGATGTTGTGACGCTTCGACGATATGTTGCGCTGCACTGTCGCCGTGTCGCTCGCTGCAGAGTGGGGGACAATCAATATACTTCACATTTACAATAAAAGAAAACAGTAGACGAGCATAAAAGTCAATGATTACTTGAGAAGTAAACAGGATTTTCGTATTTGGCAGCGCAAAGATGATACAGGACAAAATAATAATAAAAAATAAAATGATTGCATTAGGAGTGTATATACCAGTGAGTACGATGCAGTCAAACTCCCCGTTGTGCAGCATCTGTCCCCGGTACAGTACCCGCGCGCGGTATAGGCCGGCGCGTTCGAAGCACAGAGACACGCTCACACGCTGGTTTACCGAGTCGTATGAGAATGTCGCCGCTGATGACAACGACTCGTCAACTTCGGCACCCAGCGGACTGATCTCGATCGAAAACCCCTGCAGAGACTTTTATTCAGAATTAACCCATATACCTCAATAAGATGAACAAATAAAATTAAATTGTAGTGTTCTACAATTTTGTTTAAGCCTTTGACTATGTATATTCATGAAAACGTAAAACACGATTTCTGAATGCAACCATCAGTTATTTATTTGCAAAACTAAACTAAGCAAATTACTTAACACGTTACGGCATCAAAATTTATTGACTAAATATATTGAGAACTTGAGTGACACGAGGTATACCTCAAGGCTCTATATTGGGTCCAATGGATTTGGTGTTACTATAGGGTATAAGAGCTGGTACCTCGTGGTCGGTGAGTGGCGCGGGGTTGTCGTAGTGGTCCCGGGGGTGCACGTGCAGCGCGCGCGCGTGCTGCGCGGCGAAGACGAGCGCGTGGTGCGCGCGGCCCACCCGGGAGCGCCGCGCCTCCACGCGCCCCGCCGTAAACCATTTGCGGAACGGACTGCCCGCCACCGGGACCAGACCTACCATACCACAACCGATGAATACATATATTTGTAAAAACTTAACAACAAACAATCAAATGTGACAAAGTCAAAATTTTTTTATTTATTTTTTATTTAAACGTTGGCCCACATTAGGATTTTCTCCTGTGTCGTGGGTGCGGTTACAACCATACAATCTCACATACACATGACACCCAGACCCGGAACAACAATTTGTGGATCACACAAAGAGTTGTTCCGTGCGGGAAACGAACCCGCGACACGTTGCACGGCAGCCAGTTGCCCAGCCACCGCACCAACCGTGCCGTCAAATATCAATATCACTTTACTTCATTTCTTTCTCCAATAAATTCAAGAGTGTCGCAAGCACAGTATAGGATTAGGATTGAACTAGAATTTATTTAAATTGAATTTAAAGTTTCAGAAGAGATGGAATCGATCTAAACAGTAAAACGACTTTTAACTTCGAATAACAGTAGCAACCGTATTTGAAAACTTCGTTGAAAAGATTTAGGTACGAGTATAAAATTCGAACATGTGGTAAAGTGCTGTAAACTCACCGATCATGACAGAAACTATGTAGACGCCAGCCTGTCTAACAGTAAACTTGACCCGCGCAGTGTTGGCCTGCGCCGGGTCGCCTGACCCCAGCTCTATGACCGCCGTCACCTGCAGTAAAGTTCATACCGCGAAGATCTCACACCCGTTCCGATAAAACACACAGATATTGAATTAAAATCTTAAAAGAAACCTATCAAAGCCTGAGCCAAGACTCTATTACTATGTGGAACTAAATCAAATTTACGAACAAAAGCATTGTATTTAAAGATCAAGTAGAAGAAATGAGTAAATAGGAAACAGCTTAACATTAATTAGACAATCATTATCCTTCCTATTTGTTAAACATTTTAGTAACTTCCGTAATATTTTATTTTCGAATTGTTTTAATAATGGTAAAGGATAATAACGTCGATAAAGTTTTGTTAAAAATGTGATGAATCACCCAGAAGTTAAATCCAACCCCACTCACTTTCCTGGAGCCGTGGGTTATGGCCACCGTGAGTTCGTCGGTGTCACAGATGGGGTACGGCTGGCCATTGCGTTGGAAGCAGTGCACGGTGAAGCACATTGTTTCTCCCACCGCTTGGGGTTCCGTCCAACCCCATTCTACCTGAAGATCAGAAGATTCATTGAATAGTAACTTATGTGAGAATACCTAGAAAATAATGACTTCCTTAAATTAACTGGGAAAACTAGTTTCAATCAAGAATATTGATGTAAGTAATAAAATATAAAACAAATCTCAATGTAAATCTGCAATTACAACAGTTTAATGCTAGAACCTGTACCTGAAGGCCTCCCATGACGTGTTAAATAAAGTATGAATCTTCCGTGCGAGAAAGAGGGATGGAACTATAAAAGGTGCACAGCTCCATCCCTCCATACTGGTTGTGTAACCGAATTAGTTTTAAAAATATCTCTGTTCCTCGAATTAAAAAAGAAATTTATAGAAATTTCGACTTTTCAAAAGTAAACAACTTGTTAAACTAAGGTAATATTTGCTGACTATATTACATGAATAATTTGAGAAATGTGTACTTCAAGGCATGTTGTTGTACATTATTGTAATAACCGGCTAACTCGATTTCCTGCCTCGCAGCCCCTTAACGATGTTGCAGCACCGGAAGGTCAATATTACCTGTACCACCTACACTTGTATAGCACCCACACTAGGCTCACCAATATGTCCTTTACGGCAAGCGTTTCAAAGGGCACCTATTTATAGAAGGCTAGGCGAAAATATACCTTGAAATAATAACATATTTAGTTGAAAATACTAGTATTAAGTTTATTATTATTTATTAAGACAGAAAATATAAATTGTATATAACTTAGGACCGATCGCAAATGCATAAATTGGTACTCATAAGGTTGGTGAAAATACTTTAAATTCATTAAAAATATGTATGGCTACTATCTTCTAATTCATTAAAAATATGTAAACTAACGCGTTTATAATATTAGTAGGATATGTTGTAGATGAAATGAATACCGGTTGTCACTGCTTACCTACAGAAGATAGAAGTATCAATATTAAAATATTTGATAAATACCCTGCAACTAGGTGGGTGCAGATATTTCCCGGTGACGTACTGCAACAAGGAGTGCTTGGCCTCGGGCGCGAGGGAGGGCTGCGTCATGGCGGCCAGCGTCACCAGCCCGCACACCGACACTGATACCACCAGCATCCCACCTGCAGACAGACGAACGACGCAGACATTTATAAATACACCTAAAATAAACAAACAATCAAGTCTATACCTAATGTTTTTTAATCAGGGATTTATTGGTTTCAAACTATGAGTGAAGTTAATGTTTTCGAAAATTCTCAGTAATAGCACGTCTGGGATTCTATGTAGAATTTAAACTATTATATGGAGCTCCCATTATAAGTACAAAAGTAATATAAGTACATAAGTATAGTAACTAAATGTGATTGGGCAATAACCGAAACATCAGCGAGCGCGATAAGTGAGTATTACCTACACGTATTTATACATATATTTATCTTGTCATAGAAAAACAATATTTTCAAACCCCATGTCCACGCGTCTTGATGCTTGCTGTTCTTGACGACAGCGCTCCATAGATCAGCTTTGAGGGTCTGTAGCGCTTCCTTGCCGGTGGGTAGACTCTGCCGGGCAGCCGACCACGCGCCGAAGTCCTTCGGGTCGAGCACGTGGCGCGCCGTGCTGTCTTCCAGCCAGTACACGTCCTCCAGTGACGACACATCGAGGCTGAGGAGTCTGCAGACAACGGAGAAAAAATTATATGCTTCATGATCTCAATTTTATCCGTGATAAGTACTTAAATCTGCACCAATTATTCACTAAAATATTACCTACACATATCGCTATCTTATCACCAAATTAAACTTTATAAAAGTCCAGTTTATCGTTGTCTTTGTTATATAACGTGTGAGGGTGCATAAAAATAAGCTTACATCTTTGAAATACTAACCAAAGGCCGATCTGCCTTTGACGCTTGAAATATCCAACTTTCGATACTCCAGAGGGAACCAAACTAAACTAAACAATTCCCAAACCACAAACTATCTCCGGCTAACATTCGGAAAACTGCAATCAATTTTGGGAAAGAACGTTTACGTCGTAAACGGTCGATTACACATTGCCGTGGGGATATGGCGCGGACATGGGGTGCGTTTGATCATGTTAAATGGATCCGAGATCTCGAGGGTCGAGGACCTGATGTGCGATAAACAACTCAACGACTTGATAAAGGGTTAAAGATGTGGTAATGTTACTTCTAAAAAGAAATGTTTACGTTATGATAACATTATTTTGTCAGTTTGCTGGGATATATTGTATTAGTTTATTATTTAGCGTAAGTAAATCATCTATTCAGTTAATTATATAAAAAAGCCGACTGTTTGTTATGTTGTGACTTGTGTTAGTTATGCTCAGTTGTTTATTAAGTACCAACTTAAATCTTTTTTTAACAAATCTAATAAATCTTAGATTTTCAATGGGTAGGTAATCTGGTCAGTGGGTCGTCTTAGGGGCGGAGTTATCTAAATTGGTTAGATATTTCATACGAACAGTAGTATCTTGTAGATAGTTGCTATGTTGAGCAGACCCTTATACCTTCTCAGCTGATCATGCTGAACAAAATAAGATTCATGATCTGATCTGCATGATATAGCCTAAAATATTCGACCAGCCAACTAAGCTAAACTGTCTACAAGCGTAAGCTCATAAGCCGTCATGTTGAAACAATACAGGGAGTGCAAATCCGTGAAGGATTGGACGTGAACGGGCCAGTCGACAGACAGGTGATCTCATTAGCAGATTAGTGTGCAGTGAGCTGAGTACTGACAATCGAATTATGTCAATCTACGTTCCGGAGCAATGGGAACGTTATAGCATCATTTTGGTCGTACGCATTATGTGACTTTATTGTCACAATACGATGTCGTCAAAACAGATAAATTAGAGTGTAAAGCTACACATTTAAATTGTACTAGCGAGCCTTGCTTCGCACAGGCGTCCAAATCAGTGTCATTCATCATTTATTTTGCTAACGAACAGCCACGGCATCGAAAGAGTTGCTATAGTATTTACCCATTTCCATGTACTTTTCTAAACTTTCTTTTCTTTCTTTCTCAAAAACCTTCTTCTGTTACTCAATAACAAAGAATAAAGGGAATCATAGATTTATTCAGTTCGTTTTAAATATCTTAAGTGCTAACAACAAACTACATCTAAAATTTTCCTTATTAGATAAGCTAAAAATACAAATAATAGTCGAAAAACACTTCCAAGCTTGGTATTTCGTAGTTAACCATAAAATGTATAAATCCTAAGACGTTGGGTCATGTGTTATTTCAATTCAAAGAAGGTAGTATGACATCAAAGAAAATGTACGTTTCCAATATTTCAAATCATTGTTCATCATCGTCATCATCAGTTTCCTAATCATTTTATTTTGCTTTGGGTATCTTTGTCTTTGAAAAACTTTGGATACTAGGTCAAAATGTTTGTTCCTGCAGCTTTTTCACATTAACAATTTCACAAACAAACCACAACCAGACCCGGAACAATAATTTGTGGATCACACAAAGAAAGGTCTGCACGAGAATCGAACCCGCAAAATTTTACACGGTCGCCGGTAGTCCAACCATAGCGTCAACTGCGCATTTTATTTTTGGATAACAGATCCAGTAACAAGCCGTTTAGAATTGCGTTCATTGAGGATAATAAAGAAGACGTTTCATAATTAACAATCAATAAACCTTGATATGATTGCTTATTTTATTGAAACAATTATAACACTATAAAAACACTCACTTATATGTAGGTAGCACGCTAATATAGGTATAATTACTAGATTCCATAACATCCAAAATATTTTAGAATTAAAATGCGTTATCAGATCGAAATCAACATTACGTTTACAATTATTCAGTAACCCAAGAATGGAATGCACTGACATGAAAATATACAAAATACTGCGTAAAGTAAAAAGAACTTAAGAATTTAGACGTTTTTAGTTATTATACATAACAATATAAACTCATGAGGGACAAGCAGTAAAATATGCTTAAGGTCAACTATCTTTGAAATAATGACTTTCTCGTCATCTTTGTATTACAAATTTCGAGAATCACATTAATTAATTATTATGTTTAACGGGTTACCTATATCGCTTACTCACGTTGTTGTTTGCTGAGATAGATCAACTATAAATATAAACCCCTTGCGAGGCTTGAAACTAGTCGCGTTATCTCGCCAAGCCATTACGTACCTCGTCATCATCGTTTACAAACCACATAAATCTTACAGTACACATGTGTATAACCTAAACTTAAAACATTGCAAAAGAAGCTTCAAATAGGGTTAGGCCATTTAAAAACTAGGTTGGGGTCAACACCGCGTTTTAATCAGATTCTCGGAACGACTATCAAAGATTGTATGATAATGTAGACCGACACGAAACCATGGTACGAAACAACACTTAACATTTCTGTAGGTAAGAAATATGCATTCTAAAATTACGTACTACTGATACTAACTGAATTGAGAAGTAATGTACCTATGTATCGATACAATTGTAGGTAATTAAAACCTCACCAAAATTGATGTTTTCTGTTGCATTAACATCATAAGAATATATCCGTTTTCTTACTATGGGTGGCCGTTGGGCTTAAAAAATATTAATATATTTCGCTTAACTCTGGTAAAACTAGCAAAATTACTGGAAATCTAGCTAGTTGATGGCTACAACATAGCGTGCCTCCTATCGTGTTAACTCCTACTGGTGCTAGATTACCGGCATTAACATAAATAAAGAGCTAAGCCGACATGATTCATTCGATACTAGCAGAGTGGTGGTGTGCGCAAGGGGGCATGCTGGGCACAACGCGGTTTGTTGGTGAACTATAGCGTGTGTTAATGTAGGTAGTGTCTAGAGGTCTAAACTTATGTACCTAAGGTAAACCGTAAGTGTATGGCAGAAAAATACTTCGCAACGTCAATTTTAGCAGAAGTGGCATAAATCAAAAAATTATGTGTCAAGTTGCTGAATTGATATAAATAGAGCCAAAAGCGTTTTCAAGTCGGCATTTCCACGAATCCATCACAATTACGAATGAAATAATCATAACATAGAAATAGAAAGTATTAAAGTAAAGCTGAGAGAATATAAAATGAATACCATTATTCTTTGTTACTCTATCGAATCTGTGAGTTTGCAATTTTCCGCGCGAGGAAATACGTCATAAATCATAAGCCGGAGTTTCCTTCCCTCCAGCCTTCTATTTAATGCAGCTTGCCGTAAGTCTGCATCCACACTTACCACCGTGGGAACATATTGGACTCCCAGCATATTTTTTGCCGAAAAAATCTACTATTGTCAAAAAAGTGCATACACAGTTACTTCAAATTCTACATTTTTTCCTAATTATTTTATTATTTTAGTCGACAAAAGCACTGTAGAAGTGACGAAAAACTTGCTTTACTCTAGTTTTTTATTAACATTTGGCATAAGCTGCTGCTGGTTTAAATAACGATTGCTTTTATTCCCTCCTTGAAATTGCTACGATAAGACGTCGATCCATGATAGCAAAGCCCTTAGTTTTTATGTTCATCGTCAAATGTTCATATTATCTATATTTTACGATACGAGCACTGAAAGTATTAAAATAGATCACACTATTAGATACGTTCATGGGTCTTTCTGCACACTACTACCATTTACTATCCCTATTACTAACTCAAATTGCCAGAAAACATAGTCCTGCTGTTTTCTGGCAATTTGAGTTAGACGACGTTCTGCCAAATCTGAAAGACTTAGTAGACCCAAATCATCATAAGACAAAAAGAGAACGTATACTAAAATATATTTCATTGTGTTATTTATTATTATTAAAAAATATATTGTGTTGTATTTTATTTTTATATTCTCGAATATTGTGTCTATTTTTCTTTTTGTAATTTTCGTAAGGCTCGATTGGGACACGAAAAGTGTGATCACCCTTACGGTTGACTGGCAGAGAATACCTTTCGGCGTTAAGGCCTTTGTATATAAAGTGTGAAATAACTCATTAAATAAATAATGATTTAACCAAAAACTTTGGAAGTTGCAGTAATTCCTTTTCCTCTTTTTCACTCTTATATTACTTATACCACTTATCATCTCAAAATACATACTCGCCATCGCATTCCATATCTGTTTTACCGAAGAAGTCAATCAGTCTTATCTCCTGTCAAATATCTCGCATCGCGTCAACGGCTCCTCATTCCTCAATATCAGGGAAGTGTAGCAGTAATAAAGGGTGTAAGTCCCGTGGCACAAGTTACGATCTTGTTTACGAGGGTATATCAACAGCTCCTATGTTATTTAGATTGCACGCCGCCATTACTTATTTATACGTTACAGAAATGCGGTGACTGATTTTAGGAGGACCCTTCAGATTTAGGTCATAATTTTGCAGCCTTTGTAGAGTTGCAATATTACGTTGACTTTTAAAAATGCCTTTTTATGCATAAATAAAATAAGAAAATGCTTTGAATTTAGCCACCTTAGTAATTTAAAACTTTTGGGAAAGGTTTATTTTCAGAATAAAAGAAATATTTTTCCTAAACTTTTTCATTCCTATACCTTTTATATTAAGTCAGTGTGCCAGTGTTAACTTCTAAAAACATAAATAGTTTCTGTCTATCTGTCTGATAGCGCAGGCAGACACACGAAATATTAATCACAGGCCTGTCGTGTGGTCGGAGCTGAA